TGAATGGTTATGTGTTGTCTTATTGTTTGAAAAAATTATGAATTATTAAAAATAAATACTTTTATATACTTGTTTGAAATTATTACCAAGTGGGTTAAAAATTTATTTTTGTTTATCATGATGAGATATTATTATTCGGATATATTTCTGTTTGGATATTTGAATAATGCATGACTTGTCAGGGTATTTTAATATATGATGTTAATAAGAATTTCTATTCGGTTAATTATTACCACATGGTAAGCCCTCATTGGACCCAATGAGTGGCGTATCGCTTGGTCCAACTCACCTTTGGCCGGGTGATTTGGCGTCCGAGTATGGCGAAAGAAGGATATAAGGTGCAGTCATGCAAATTAAATACTTGTTCGGTTTGTTTGAAAATATTGTTCTGTTAAATGTTTTGTGTGCCCACTTAGCAATCGCATGATTAGTTACATTCGCATATATCATTACATATTAATTTTTGGTTACTGGGACTTTTAAGTCTCATTCCCCATGGTTAACATTTTTACAGGAGCGAGTCCGGCCGAGAAAGCACCAAAGGCGTAACTTTGGTGTATGAGACACCATCTTTTACGTTGTCTCCTATTTTATATTATGCAATGTATCTTGTGTCAACTTAGGACATTTCTTATTTTGACAATATGTAAACTCTAATCCTTTGTATTAAATGCATTTATATGACCAAGAAGATTATGTTTGTCCCTCTTGATTCATGACCTGATTTAAATATCATGTCATGAGGATCCTGTCTGTCCCTCATGGTTCTAATTGCTTTTTAAGATATTTTAAGACTTGTGGCATATTATCTTGGATGTATCATGGTAGAAAATTTTCTACTATGATAAGGGTATAATAATGGTTCAATGAAAAAAAAATGATTTGTTGAATTAATAATTTGTGAAAAATTGATTTGTAAATATGAGGATGTTACAAGGCTGATAACAAACCATGAAATCAAGAGAATTAGAGGAAGAAGAAGAAGTCATTGAAGATTGATGAAGAGATGTAACTAACAAAGAAAGGGGGAAAGTTGGAACAAAACAATAGAGATCAGAGAGGAACACAGTGACAACTAAGGACCCAACAAAATAATAGAGAAAATGGAATGGAACATGAAAATAGGAGAGGGGTCTAATGATATACGGGCTTAGGGTTTTTTATGAAGCCCATTATAAATTGAACTACTTTTTAAACACATTCTATACAAAGCATTACAAGCACATATATAATAAACAAATAATAAACTTGTATTAAAAATAGTGGACTATGTCCAAATAGTGAGAAGGGTTTGTCCTTAGCCCAATCTAACCTGGATAGTCAACTCGGTTTGATCAACCCAATCTTCTTATTGGGCTGCTTTTTATTCATCGAGTTGGACCACTGGACCGAGTTAGGGTAGGTCAAACTAGGTTTCAGGTTATATCCACAACCATACTTATAGATGCCTAAAGACTGAGAACTATCAATTTGGATCGTTGTATAGGGTTGCTTCACTTGTTGACAAATGGATAGAAGTAGGGGTGAGCATAATCAAATCGAATTAAATTTTATTAGAATCAGTCTATTTAGTTTTCTTTAATTTTTTTTTCAATTGATCGGTTCAATTTGGTCTGGAAATTCTTGAACTAAATAAACCAAACCAACCAAATTATACGTATTTTTTTATTTTTTTTAAATGTGAATAAATTCTCATCTAGGTGAATAAGAAACGTCTTTTTACCACTTGCAATTGTAATATTTTTTATTTAATGTGATGTTCTAATTTTTTATTTCTACAATTTAATTTTTAATGCAATAGTACTGAGGTTCATTAATTTTCTCATAAATTATTGTATAAGACTGCTATTTTTTTTTGTTGGGCTTTTAACATCAAGGGAAAAATTGGATAGAAGAAGATATGAACAATTAGATTCCATAGACCCAAATCAAAGCCCATGAACAAAATAGACCGATCGAATTGAACCATTATAATTCAACTTGATTATGTATTTCGATTCAATCTAAATTTTTTATATAATTCGATCGATTGGTTTTAGAAAAATTAAAATCGAATCGACCAAATGCTCACCCCTAAATGGAAGTTCATAAATAAATTAATATTATTATTTTTATTAAAAAAATATTGTTACACTGTCCATCAAACTTTGTTGTTAAAAATGGTAGAAATTTATGTGTAGGTTCATATTAATTATCTTATTTATTTGTTAAAATGGGTTAACCGGTGGTTCATTGAATATTAAAGCCTAATTATGTATTTGATTGGCTAGACACACAACGGTGATCTATTGAGTATGTAGTTAGTAGTTAAGGTATTGGTGACTTAACCTTACTAAATCTTGCAGTGGATGGGCCTATTAAAAATTATTAAACATGTTAGGTCCCTCTTTAACCCTAACTTAATGTGTATTTTTCATTAAAATTAAAGTTGCATAATTCCAAAAACATATAGAGAGGAAGACTTGGTTTGACTAACTCATTGTAACTTAATGACTATGGCAAAATCAAGTAGGCAACTCTATCTTGTGTGTGTGTGTTTTCCTTTCTTACATACATTATATCCCCGTTTAATCTATTAATTAGATTTTACGAAACAATTGTCTACAATTCCATCTACTTGCTTAATTAAAAAGAGAACACTTCATCATGATAATTAGTTACAACACACAAATCCTTAAAAAGAGATTCACGTTCAAACTCGAGATGGCATATGCATGCACGGCAAATTAAAGCATAATAATATTACATTTTCGTCTTTATTTTATGGGGTTAGGTTGACAATATTTTGAGCAGAGACTAATTATTAAGATAACGCGGTGGTAGTCTCTATCAAGGGCGCTCACAATATCAGTAAAGAAACGAGAAAATTCTAAACTAGAGTTGGTAGTTGGTGAAGGATGCGACGTTTGGTGGCGAGTAGAGAAAGACCCATGGGTGTGAAAATTTTTACTATTAATCTTGCAAGTTTTGAGTTGATTGATTTGAGGCGAATTTATTTATAGACGAAGAGTGGGGTCAATACGGGAATTTCCACATCACACAATTTCTTTCTGCTCGCTTGTTGCATGTTTCTGTATTGCTTCTAGATTTTAGGTAAGATGTCATCCCCTTTGATTTGTCAATCCTACCATTTTCGGGGCATGGCTAAATTAATTTAAGAATTTAAACTAATAAAATATTGCAATAATAATGACTAGTTTTTATATCATTTTTAGTGACCGCAAACTCGAGTGGGCTTTCTGTATTTGATCACCACGGTATGATATTTGTGTGGATCTATAACCTTGTAAATAAAAAGCCTGCACCGGCATTTCTATAATTTAGGAACCATTTTGACGAAGGGTGCCCAAACGCAGAGCCGTTCAGACCATTAGATGTCCATAGTTTCATTGCTTTAATTTGGTTTTCCTTTCCATCAAAAAACAAGTTGAAAATTATGGATATTGAAAGTTTCAAACTAGTATGATTTTTTATTTTTGGGATAAAGGAAGTCATAGGAGAAAGGTGGAAGAATGTATAATAGAGAAAGGCCTCAAAGAAAGCAAACATAAACTCGAGCTGATTAATTATCTTATGCATGAATCATAAATCACTACCAAACAACATCTTAAAATGATTCTCGAATGATGAATCATCAGGTACAAAATTTGAGAGTGATTATCAAAGAAATGAATCATTGAGTAGGAAACTCATGAATGATTATCAGAGGGATGAATCACTATATGAAAAAAATTTGAGAGTAATTCTTGAAGGGATGAATTGCTAGGTGAGAGAAACTTAAGAGTGATTCCTATAAAGAAGAATCATGAGGCAAAATCTTAAATTGAACCATCAAAATATTGAAGACTAAATAAAAAGGTAGAGCTATTAGAAGCAATCTTATTCAAAACAAGATTAAGCATTAAATATAGACACTTCTTTCAGTAAAAATTTGAACCTTGGTTCGTTATGTTGTGAAGCAAACTAGCCACTCTTATTAGATCCATCCCTGTTGATGATATTTTAATATTTTTTGGTATATAATCTAATAAATAACAGATTTGTGAAAAATGTTATCTTTTTTCAATTAAAAAAAACATTGCTATCAACAAGCAAGTGCCTATTCTAATGGGAAGAGCTATACTCACCTAGGTGCAAAATCTTAAGTTCCAATCCATGTGAATGTAAAACATGCTTTTGAGAGAGTTATTTTCAATTAAAACCTAATAATATCTAAATCTAACTTAATCTGATAAATTTATGAAAAAGGATTGTTTTTGTTATGAACAGGGTCTCCAAGGACAACCAACCTGGAGAAGTCAATTATCACGCAACCAGATCAAGTAAATTGCAAGAAATGATCAAAACCATTGTTGTTTAACATTGAAGTGACACCATACACTTCACTCCATTCTTCTAACGGACACACACACACACACACACACACACACACGCACACACATATGGCAAGCAAATATTTTGCTCCATTCAAAAACCGGATTAATCAGAATATTTATCTGATTCCCTTTGATCTCATTCAAGAGAATTACTATGTTAATTAATCGTCATTGTCGCCAAAGCTCCGTTGTTAATTATTTGTCTGTTTATTTATTATCATAATGGGAACTGAAAAGCGAAGAGATGTTGACAATTAAAGCCAAAGATTGACAAACTTGCATGAGCCTGTTATCCAAAAGCGTGAACTTAATAACTAAACACAGCCTCAGGGGCAAATATATTGGATTAAAATAAATTCACACCTCATTCTCCAAACAGGGGAAGGAAATTTTTACTAAATAAAAATAAATACACGCTCTTGTCTGAGCTTGTGGTGAAATTTTCAAGCTGAGTTGAACACCTGACCAAATGGAATGAGCATTCATGTGTAATATATAAATTAAAAAAAAAGGTCAATATCCTAAATTTAATTTATTAATTTTAGGGTTGCTTGCGGGGTAGGGGTGGTTGGTGGGGGGTATCAATGGAAAGTTCTCAGCACAAAAGGACGCTATCGCCACTTGCAAATTTCCACTCACCACCCACTTCGGGACTCGGCGTCGTCACCATTTTTCACCATCCACTTCTTCTTCCCCAAAACCGCCCGATTAGCCCCGAGTCGTCATGGGTTCAGCCGGCGAGACCCAGATCACCCCAACGCACGTCAACGACGAGGAAGCGAACCTCTTCGCGATGCAATTGGCCAGCGCCTCCGTGCTCCCCATGATTCTGAAATCAGCGCTCGAGCTGGATCTGCTCGAGATCATCGCCAAGGCTGGCCCTAATGCTCAGGCTTCGCCCTCCGACGTTGCCTCTCAGCTGCCGACGAAGAATCCCGACGCGGCGGTGATGCTGGACCGCATGATGCGGCTGTTGGCCAGCTACAACGTCCTGACCTGCTCTGTCCGAACCCTTCCCGACGGCAAGATCGAGAGGCTCTATGGTCTGGCCCCCGTCGCTAAATACTTGGTTAAAAACGAAGACGGCGTCTCTATTGCTCCCCTCAACCTCATGAATCAGGACAAAGTCCTCATGGAGAGCTGGTATTTCCTTCTTCTTTACTTACTCCGTTTCTTATACTTTACTTGAATATCAATCTGTAATTTAACTTGCTAATTAATCAAATTATTAGATTCATACAAGTAATTAGAGTATTAGTCATCATCAATTAATGTGAAGGATGAAATAAGTGTGCACAATCAAACTTCGCGAGGACGATATATGTCAAGAAACAAAATGGACGGCTTATCTGGGTTTATTTTATTTCAATGCTTATTTATTTATTTATTAAAAGTGCCCAAAAGATATATAATATATATATATATTATATGCGGGGTACCTGGATGGAAAGCTCGAGAGAGGTTTACTAGTCTTGCAAGTTTCCATGGCACCCCGATTAGTGGGGTATTGTGTGTGGCCAGAACAAAATAATTAGTGGGTATGGTAAATGTGTAATTATTGATGATCATGTCATGGAGGTCGTGCATATTTTGATTTTTTGTCAACCTCAATATATGAAAAATTATAAATAAAGTGGCAAAATCCACGTATTTCTTATCCTATTTAGTGTGTATTTAATTTTCAATTTGTTACAAGTTTGTTAGTTGAAAGTTCATTTAATAAAACTCAATTTAATAAAAGTCAATTATTATAATAAAATTTGTGTTTGGATAATTTTTTTAAAAAATTAATTTAGTAAATTAAAAATTACTTGAATTAAGATAATGATTAAGTAAAATTAGAAAAGTGAGAATTAGTTAATAATAAAATTATACAAAGTACTTTCAAAAAGCTATCTAAAATTAAATTTAAAGGATGAACTTTTAGAACTTTTTAAATGTGTTTTTCAAATGAACTTTGAAAGCAATTTAAAGAAACCAAATTATTTTTATAGTTTTGAATATTCAAAAGTCTTTTTTGAATGTAAAAAGTAGGTAAACGTAACGGCCCTTAGTTGAATAATGGAGAGATGGAAAAGTGGGAAAGTGATTATCGAACTCTTTTTTTTTTAAATTAGTAATGTTTATCCAAGTTTAAAAGTTACCACTCAGGAAGGAAAGCTCCAGTTTTTTAGTAGAATCGGAGAGGAATGTTTTGAAATGGAATTATAGTTTTGAACGGTAATTACCAATTCAGGCATGTCATCTAGATTGCCTTCCCTATTGGACGTTTTGGATATTAATTAGTAAATTAATTATTACCCGGAAGATTGATCATTTATTTATTTATGTCCATGGAAATAGCAGCGGCCGGTAGGCGAAAAATTCGAAGGGATTAGAAAAAGGCATAAAAAGTGGGCCCTACCGGAATCGCAAATGTTGATTATATCTCAATGGAGACCACTCATGAGTTGTGTTGTGTTTGTGTGAAATGGGGCCACAACGCCACGCTCTTTGAGAGGTCCCCTGCAGTATACCTACCACTACCTTTCCCTGTGCTTGAAAACCATTCTTCGTTACGTTTCCTCATATTAATTACGTTAATTAATCCAACTCCTTGACCTTTGCTAAGTTAGGTCGAACTGCTTCTGGTTTCTTTTTCATGATTATTGTTTCCATACACTCATTTGATTAGCGTGGTAACGTTAGTTCACCTAAAAAACATTTGATACAATACAAATGAACCAGCCATAATATAAACATTGTAGCATAATACATGAGTTTCAGATAAAACTCACCTAAAATTTATTTTACCAAAAAATTATTGTAACCTGATACAAATAGTTAAATAAATTTAAGGAAAATATCATGACAAAATAAAGATATGGACAATGTATTCTAACTTTCTTAACTTGTCTTGGAGGCCGAGACGGATTTAAGGAGGGCAACCGCCCTTATTTTCCATCTCCTTTTGAAAGTTATTAAAATTTTCTCTATACCATATTCCCTACAAGAGGTGATGAATGATAAAAGACTGTTCTCAGTTAATTGTTTTATTTCTTGTGTTTTTATTTATACTAGACTCTCTTCGGGTAATAGAATTTGTTTTTCACTAAAAAAAAAAAATCTTTATAGAAATTGATAAAATTAATTCTGGCCCCCATACTTTATGTTATTTGAAATTTTGTCTCTCTGAGGCATATTCGAGTCAAGGACGAGTTTTGTGGAATTTTTTGGATATTTATCAACAATTTATTTATTTTAATAAAAATATAACATATTGATATACATGATTCTTAATAACCATGGGCTTGCTATTAATTTTTTTAAGTAATTTATAAGCCTATCTCGAGTGCTGTCAGAATTTTTCCTTCTATTCTATTTCGAAAATATAGATTTAAATAAATTGAAGAATATTGGAAATAAGGGGTTAAAAATTTAAATGACGATGGATATTGGGATATGGAAGGTACTACTTGAAAGACGCGGTTCTGGAAGGAGGGATTCCATTCAACAAGGCACACGGGATGACATCGTTCGAGTACCACGGGAAAGATGGCAGGTTCAACAAGGTCTTCAACAAGGGCATGGCCGACCACTCCACCATCACCATGAAGAAGATTCTGGAGACCTACAACGGCTTTGAGGGCCTCAAGTCTCTCGTCGACGTCGGCGGCGGCACTGGAGCTGTCATCAACATGATCGTCTCCAAGTACCCCTCCATTAAAGGCATTAACTTTGACCTCCCCCATGTCATCCAAGACGCTCCCTCTTATCCAGGTGTGGAGCATGTTGGTGGGGACATGTTCGTCAGTGTTCCAAAAGCTGATGCTGTTTTCATGAAGGTTAGTTCGCTTTAAATATTCTGTGTGTTGGACTGGCTGGTTGTTAGGCCCATATAATAGTTTCGGTGGCCTTGCATCATCACATCACCAAACAAGCAAACTATTAAAACAATTCAAAAAAGCCTTGGGCCATCAAACTAGCAACGTTTTGTGCTTGAGCTGGAATTCATTGGTTCATATCATAGGTATTCCTTTTGTAGTGGACCTTTGGTTTAAATAAATAAACACGACAAGTTGGCTGACTTGTAAGCGACGTGGGTAAATCATGCAGTGGATATGCCATGACTGGAGTGACGAGCACTGCTTGAAATTCCTAAAGAACTGCTACGACGCGCTTCCGGAGAATGGGAAGGTGATAGTGGCGGAGTGCATTCTTCCGGTGGCTCCGGACTCTAGCTTGGCCACAAAAGGTGTGGTCCACATCGACGTCATCATGCTGGCTCACAACCCTGGTGGCAAAGAGAGGACTGAGAAAGAGTTTGAGGCTTTGGCCAAGGGCGCTGGCTTCCAAGCTTTCCGGGTTGTTTGCTCTGCTTTCAACTCCTATATCATGGAATTCCTGAAGAACCCTTAACTTCTTCGTTTCTCACTCTTCATATCTGTTCACATGTCTTGCATTTGAGCTTGTCACATTGTGATTCTGCTGGTTTCCATGCCCCTTGTTCATCCGGAAATTCTACTTGTCTTCTTATATATAGGAAAAAGAATCACCAACAAGTTATTGTATCCTGCCTCTGTATAAAATAAATGAGTGTATTCTCTTGTAATTTAAGAATTTGCTTCCTTTACTCTACTTTTATCCTTCCCCGTAGCCCATGTTGGGGGTAATTTCATGCTATGGTTTTCCTACAAATTGCTTAAGAATACAAGGACATGCTAACAATATACTGAGAACCGAGAGTGGAATTAACTTCAGCGATTGAAATACCGTTAAGATCTGCAACTTTTAACATGTATAGATTAATAGTTATCGAAACATAGTCACAACACTCATAATAGTCTAGAAATTAGAAAACATAAACAGGGAAAATGGTAGAGGAATAATATAAAGCAGAGAGAAGAGAAAGCCTTCAGGGTGAGACACAATACCAAAACTGCAAAACCCGCGCGCAACATATGCCCATTATTATTCCTTGAACCACAATACTCCCACGCACATCCTCAATAGTATACACTGCAATGTTGTCCTTATTTGCCACATATAATGGCCAGAACACCCTAATGATTGAGAACATCGAACATTTCCTTGGTCTTTAAATAAAATAGTCTGATGAATGGCCTAAACATAGTCAGCTATATTCATTACATTACTTCATACTAATATTACAACAATCTCAGGAATCAAATTCTGAGATTATGAAATCAGAGCACTAAACTAAAAATCTACAAAGTCTTGTTTTGTTTCCTGAATGCCCCGCTTGCATCAAGAATTGCAAAACAAGAGGCATTAGGGAATTTCAAGGTTCGACTAATTAATGAAATTCCCTGACGGAGCACTGGAAATAATGTAGCAGTATCGTAACCTCACATGTGCTTTATAGGCTAGACTGACCTTGCTTAATCCCCAATATAAATTTAGAAGTTTACACGTTCTTGAAAAGTTCCAAACAGCTGATGTCTTTGTGCAAGTCTCTGCTCCAAAACTTCTTATAATACTCTTCATATGTATAACCCCTGTATATGGCTCCGTGTCCATCCTCCGTGAGTGGTTCTGCAGGGCTGATCAGAGCGTCGTCCTGAGGACACAGAAATGAAGCCACCGACAACCTCGGCTTCTCCGAGTTAACGACAGCACGATGCCACACGCTCTTGTAAATCCCGTTACTCAAAGCCTGCACCAAAATTCACACAAGCCTGTGATCACAACACAATGGGATCAAAATAAATGCATATACGAACGTTGCGAGTGTAGTGTATAGTGTGATGCCTGAATTTGATCCCCGATGTTGATGACGAAGGCATCGGGTTGTGGGTTAATGGCGACCCAGTTTCCGTCTTTGAGAACTTGAAGCCCCGACACGTCGACGCCTTGGAGGAGAATTGTGACAGCATTAGGGTCGGTATGACCCGGCAGGCCGTAGGTGAGCTCTGGTTCCGGACACGGAGGATAATAGTTGACGGCCATGTGCTGGCCCTGCTCCCCCAACACATTCTTGATGTGATCTTTGGGGAGGCCCAAGCTTTCTGATATGTACTCTTCTATTCTGAACCCCAACTCTCTGACCTCCATGCAGTAATTTCCCACCGTTTCTCTGTTCATTCCATTCCACACACATCACATCACAATCCATGTCACAAAAGAAAAAAAAAAAAAAACCACGGCTGCGTGGTTAAAAATGTCGTGTTAGGTATAGACTTGTGAAATACTGAATAAATTAAGTTTTGTCACGAGATAGAAATTTAACATGTTGGAACGCAGCCGTAGGGTGAGCACGGAGCTAACAGGTTGGAATTGTATCGGATGATTTTTTTTTAAATATTCTAAAATAATAGTTTGGATATGTCATCAACAAAGAAAATTATTTGGGCTGTTAATCACTGATGGTGTGTGGTTCTAGATGGGGTGACTTTTTCTTTTGTAATAGATGGGTGTGACTTGGTCAGTATGGACAAGGTCATTGATCCGTCGAAAGTGCTTGAGTGATGTCGACGAGCTGAAGAAATGCTCAAAACGTTCCAAAGCGTCACAATCTCGTGTCTCGACCCAACACGTCTACTCCATTTTTCAGATGATACGATCCAAATGACGTCTTAATTTAAAAATTATGGTTATTTTAAAACTTAAACTTATCGTTTATGTTTGCAAAATCAAAGTAGGTTTATTATAAAAATATTAAATAAACTGTATAGCTATAACTTTCTAGAATGTGACATCCTTTTTTTTTTAAACTAAAAAATTCTCAATTTGTTCATTACTAATAATATTAGGTCATTACAAATAAGTTATTCAAATATTTTACCTTGATTTATTCTGATATATAATCTTAAAATGAGATTTCAAAAAAAAAAAAAAAACTTAGATGCTATCGCAGCTTCAGTTTCACATGGGAACACTTTTCCTCCGGCCAAGTCAACCAACCACACAATAAATCAGTAAAGAAGCTTGCTTTCATATTTAATATTCCCCTTTAATATTTTTTTTATACTAAAAAAATTTAATAGGTTAAGCCCCAGGATCTTATTAGAGTTAAGATATGTTTTTAAATTTAAATAATATTTACAAACATACTTACAGATTATTTATCAACAAGATCATCACATTAACAATAAATTTTTACTAACTAAATCAACTTTTATTGAATTCTCCTTTATTCATTTTCTTAATATGATAAATGGGAAGAATTTCTTGTTGTGAAAAGGAAAGTCCAATTACCGGCCATTAGCGTTCCTATATGGTCAAGGAAATATAATTATCAAAATTAAAATTTCAAAGAGCCGTTTCGAACTCGTGATTTGACCTCACTTTATCTTTTTTATCCACACTTTAATAATAATAAATTTATTTTACTATTATTAATGCTTAAAAAAATTTAGTTGCTAGGAAAATCAGGTGATTTCAAAACATTTTGCCTTTCAGACACAAATAAGCCACGCACGAAACCATATCCGTATCATTTGGGTTACCCCACTTATGTATTATGTCTAGATCATTCTAATTCAAAATATTGGAAAGAAATATGAGTCTGTAAAATTAATAAATTATCACTATCATAATTGTCAGTGTATTAATCTATAATTCTCAAGAATTCAACTCAATTAAATTCTATCCAAATATGATATTACTTTTATCCATATTGAATTAAGAGTTTATATTTTGTGAACTCTGTCTAATGAAAAGTTAATGGTGCAAATAGATCGTATCAACTTGTAAGACATGCCGAATAAAACAAAAGAAAACAAAACAGTGATCGGCACACAATCAGAATCCAATCTAACTTCGTTTAACATGTGACGTTATAGGAGGTGCGGGCATATCAATTCTTTACTGCAAAGAACATGACACTAACATGGTGAGAAGAATAAATACACAGTAATATTATGAGAAAAAGAATATATCCATGCCGCCATGTTCAAAAGTCATTGAAGTTACCTTTAAACATTGAAAAAAAAAAAACATATATCCCATCTAGCTAGAAGAACAAAAAATGAATAAATTCTTTACTTTTATATATTAGAAGGATATATTTAAAATACAACAATATTATGTTATAATTCAATAAAATGATTTGTTTTGAAGGTTTTCTATCATGTGTTTATGTGTAATGTAAAGCTAAAGTACCTATCAATATCATCATTAGATTTATAAAAATTACAAGAAGCTTTTTTTTTTTAATAAAAAGACAATTTTATTCATTTTAAGAAGCTATATCGTTCACAAATCATAACACATGAGGTATTTTAAATGAAAATATGAGGTGATATTTTTAAAAAAATTAATTTGAAAAAATAGGCAAGAAATGACTTGAGAAATGCATGAATGTAAGAGAATTAGAGGAAGAGGGACGAACATGTGGAAAGGAAAGATATATTTCACGTGCAGTCATGTGTTTAAGATAATGGCACTTTCAGAAATACATGAATGTGATTACGCGGAGAAGATAAAAGAAGATCGGATTCTTTGTAACAGGAAGAAGGAAAAACAAGTCCAAAGGTAAATTAGAATTTTTAAAAGAAAAGAATGACTAATGCATAAACGTCCAGTCATAGTACTAAAAAAGCAGGTTAACCTAACAAGTTCACAAAGAGACTCTAATTCGTATGTCGGCTGCTTAGCTAGCTTATCTCATAAATTAGATGTTAATTTTAATTTTTTTGATCGTCCACCTCCTCTACTTCAAGAGGCGATCAATGATATATAAAAGCAACTAATTATGAAACTCCTATGTGATGTAATCTTTTTTTTATTTATTTGTATGATCCTTTTTAATCAAAAAAATTGATTGAATGAAATGTTTTGTTGAAGAGTAGTCTAATCATGAGTTGACTGCGATTATGATTTCTTGAAGCAGTCAAAACACTTCCATTATCACCGGACAGGGTTAGGGGGAAAAAATTGGGAAAGGAAGAACATACTTGAAAGAGGGAGGATTGGAAGGCCAGTGAGGGACATAAGTGTGGAGAGGATAACAATGGAGCCTGAGGTAGTCCCTCCAATTGTGGACCTTCTCCTTGTTAACGTTGAAGCTGGTGGACAGCCTGACGGTCTTGGAGGGATCTTCCGAGTACAGCTTCATCTTCTCCTCTACCGGCAGCCTGAAGAACTCGTACGCCACCTCCGACATTTTCTTCACAGCCTCCAAATCCACCCCATGGTTAATCACCTGCAGATTCCTCCAATTTCTAATTAGTCGAAACAAGTCACTCTGGCACACCGGCGTCAAGATTCGAAGGAATTAATTAACTAATTAAAAGAACCTGGAAAAAGCCAAAGGACTTGCAGGCCTGACCGACTAAGCGAACAATTTGAGACCTATCGGGGGAGGACAAGTCGATGAGGGGAACGTCCTGACATGCAGAGACCTGAGAGAGGCGAGGACGCTCTGATTCCGGGCGGACATAACCAGGAGGCAGGCTGGCGTGGCGGATTCCAGAGGACAGGACCTTGGCTTCCATTTTCGATTAATCAAGGAGAGAGGGATGAGGGAGGGAGATGAAAGCCTCAGAGTGTTGTTTTGGGCTTTGCCTCCCGGAAGCCAAGTGCTTAGAGTAAAACGGGTGTCGCCTTTATATAAACCAATTGCGTGCCTGTTTTTCAGTTGGGTTCTTTAATTTGTGAAAAGTGACTTATTAAAACCATATTAATTTTTTAATTGTATACTTGTGTATTCGTATTACAAATAATTTTGTTTTAGGCGTTATGACTACATGTGAACGTTTCTTTTAACAGATATTTAAATTTTGGTACAAAACTACAAAAGATTAATCCCTTCTGCTAAATTTAATCTTATAAAAATTAAAATTTAAAAAATAATTAATAAACGATATTTTTTTAATTTTGATAAAATATGCTTATAAATATAATTAGAATGGCCAAAAGCGTGGTGTGTTAAACCGTAAATGCTTAATGGCTGATTTTGGAGAATGCAGAGAGTAACAGAGACGCAAGGCTACAGGAGTTACCCCAAGGTCAAAATAGGAAAAGGGTACCTAGTACCAAGATGCTGTTCCGGATCCTGGGATCGTGGTTGGGTCCTACTGTCCTAAAAACAGCAATTATTGAGGAAGTTCAGCAGAGCGAGAATTGGGAACATAAACGAGCAGGTTTTAAAAATTAATTAAACTGGACCATACTGACCGGTTTAACCGGTTCAGCTGTAAACTAATCACAAATCGGTTGCGGTTGAAATTTACACACCGGGAATAAGCAAACCGGAAAAACCGAACGGTCAAGTAACCTAATTTTTTTTTTCTCTCCCCAAACAGCATAACGGCATTGTTCAGTGTTAAAAAAATAATAATAATAAAAACTCTGACCAAGCCTTGACGCACTCTCCGTCCGCCAGAAAGAGAAGAAAATAGAAATCGAAACCCAGCCAAAAGGAAGATGAAGCGGAGAAAGATTTAAAAAAAAAAAAAGAAAAAGAAAAAATAAGAAGAGAAGTTAACTTGCTGCAAACCATTGCCACAGAGGCGTTCCTTTGGTCACAAATCAGTTAGATCTGCCCTGAAACTATCAGATCCATGAACAATCTTGCACTTCAATCAAGGACTCATGGCGGCCGAAAAAGAGATAGAGAAGAAAAGAAGACAAGCTCTGCTAATGAGAAAACGTGAAAGAAGTGGAGGAATGAAATGCTTTTAGGGTTTAAGTATTATAAAATAATAACTGTTCCTTAATAAATGTGTCATTGGGGGGAAAAAAAACAAACTATTGTTAATATTGCATGTTAGGAGGGGAGGCGGGAAGAGTTGATTTATTAGATGTTGGTGTTGCAATTTTGAGAATTTAAATTAATTAAGATTAAAATCCGACTTGCCAAAAAAAGTAACATTAAAATATTGTTGATTTATAGCTTTGCTTATCTTAAAAAAATATTGTTTATTAATATTTTTTTCATCAAGATATTATTTATCTATCTGCTTTAATAAAATTCATTTATAAATAAACTTTATGAAAGTAGATTTTGGCACATTTTAATATTAAATTATAAAATTTATTGATTTTAACTACTATTTTTTTATAATGTTTTATATTAAATATTAAGATAAATTATTTTAATTAAAAACGGTTTGATTCTAATTCAATCACAATCCAACTATTAAACCATCAACTAATATTTTAAGTGGGTGAATGACTGATTTAAACTTTAAAACCTTGTGAGTAAGGAAATGAGAGCCTCGTTATGAATCCCTTTCCAAGGCTGGACTAGTTCGTTTCAGTACTCGTGTACCTTTAAATTTGATTCAACCGTTCCCTGCTTCTCTCATTTATTTCTCTCTTCCTAGCTTTGGTTTTATAAAAATTATTAAAATGGGCTCCCCTTTTTAATTAGGAGTATTCACCGGGACAAAAATTGAGATACTCTTATCTCATGTCTTGTCTTAAAAAAAAATTAAGATTAAATTTTTATTTTGTCTCATCTCAAAAGTCATACTGTCTCATTAAAAATTGAGATATCTCATTTTCTTAATAAATCAGATAACGCAAAGGAAAGGTTTGAATAATAATATTTATTAAAATTTTAAATTACATAATTTATTAAGTTTAAAATCAAAATAATGTATAAATTATAACAATTTAAAGTTAATTATTGAATTACATCAATCACAAATATAAGTGTATAATACATTAGGAAAAAAATTACAAATAATTTATAGGTTACAAAAACAACAACAATAGACAAGTCAAGTATAATATTAAATTATTATTTTTATTTTTTAGTTAAGATATACTAAATTAATTACTCTTCCAAAAACAAAGCAAGGAATACAATATAAATAAAAGTTATTAAATGAATATATATAAAAATAAATTATATTAATATAATAATATATTATAAAGAAAGATGTTACCTAACACTATGTAGTCTGTGTCATTAAAATCATCAATATAAAAAAAATTTGTTTTCAATAAAAATTGCATGTATTAAAATTATCATTGATGTAATTAATATAAGTATAAATTATATTAATATATTTAATATTTTTTTCAAATAATAAAATTATATATATACATACTATTTGAGACAAGACGAGACATCCTAAAGACAATCTTGTGGCCCGTTTCATCCCAAATCTCTTTTCAATCTCATCTTGTAAAGTCACATCCTAATTATTTTTGGATCGGGATGAAACCTGTGCTGATATAATTAAGATAGCTATAAGTTAAACACTCATACTTCCAACAAGATTATAAATCATTTTCCAGAAATGTTGTTTAATTCAAAATATAGAATATCAAATAGGTGTAATATATATTTCAATTATATCCTCATTTTATTAGGTACTTAATGAAAGTGTTTTAAATAAATTAAATGTTATATTTATTGCACTCAATGACATGAATGAAAAGATGTAAAAATTTTTAAAAAATTAATATTTAAACTACTCTTTTTTTTACAAACATAAATTAGTTAACAATAACTTGTACTATAGTTCAAAAGGAGTTATTTTTAATTGAAAATTTTCTCTAGTCTTTTCGATCCTTATTACAAAGCATCTCTAACCATCTCACTGAAATCAAGAAAAGGTGGTCAAGTCAATAAATTTAAATAAAAATAGAATAAACTTTCAATCTCACTCATATTTGAATGAAAAGTTTTCAAATTTACATTATATTTTTCTCATAATTGATAAATTTAAATAGGGTTAATATTGTAAGAATAATTTATACCCCATCAAGTGCCTTGTATTAAGGATCTCATTAATTTTTTTAAAATGTGCCTTATAATAAAGACTGGATGGAGTGATAAATTTATTAATAATTAATATTGTCTTGTTAAAAATACCTTTTGATATAATGGATTAAATGGCAACTTGAACCTTAAATTATAGATTTAGAGATAATTTAAATTTATATTTATATTTAATATATTTTAAATACTAAACAATTAAATTTAAGATAATTTTATTTTGATCGTTAAATTAAAATAAATAGTCGTTACTTGTAAAGATTGGTACCTAGCCTTTTTCACACACTCCTCCCATCCTTCTCCTTCCCTTGATGCGTTTTGGAATGATTAGGTTTGGGGTGGGAGGGGGAGGGGAGAGACATCAGGTAGGAGGGGAGAATGAGAGGGAGGGAGAGCAGAGAAAGGGGGGAGAGAGAATAGTTTCAAAGCCTTTGAAGAAGTCTTCAAATGCAAAGTTGTCAGTACATGCCACTTGTCTTGTAAATCCAAGTCCCATCACTTAACTAACGATAATTTTGTCTACGATAATTATAAAGGTGAGATTGCTTCAAGTTTAATTATTTAAAATTTAAAATATATTAAATATAAGTTTAATATTTAAATCATGCTTAACATCATAATTTAAAATCTAAATCATCATTTAACCCATTACATTAAAAGGTATTTTTTAATATAATTACCATCTAGTGCTTAATTAAGCGATCATAGTCATTTCTATCTTTTGTTATTATTTTTTAATTTCATATAATTACATATCTTTAGGGAGATAAAAATAATACTCTTTAGTTATATTTACAAATCACTTTTAACATTTTTACTGTAATCAATAAAAATTTTAAAATTTATTAACTTTATCTAAAAGTTCAAATTTTCAACTTTATCCCCATACAATATATATACTTTAAAAGTTATATATTCTTACATTGAATAATCTTTCTAATATTTAATAAGAAAAAAATAATAAAAATAAATATAATAATCATTAAGATACCTTAAACAAGATTAAAATAAATACTTTATCTGTTTTACAAATAGAACCACAGGAGAATTTGAGAATTTTGGGGCGGGGGTTAAGTAGATCAGAGTGGTTAAAAAATCCTAGGCATAAGCCTCTGGATCGTATGAAAAGATCGGTCAAGGTTGATGATAGGGCTATGTAAAAGTCTTTCAATTCTGTCTGGTCCAATCCAACCCAAGATGGTCTCAGTCTTGTTTGGTCTGTATAGACACTGGTTCTTCGGGACCAAAAAAACTGAAAAGATCATATTATTTTTTCGGGTTGGACTGGAGAAGAGGCTAGACATCCAGACCACTTGGTCCAGTCCAGTCCTATTAATTTTTTTATTATAATTATAATTAATTTATTTTTGACAAATGTTTGAAGTGTAATTGATACTAAGGAGATGATTGCATGAAGATTTATTAAATTTATTTTTAAATTATTATTGCAATGTAGTCTTGTTGAATTTTACTAAGTATTGTTTTTGTTAAAGTTATATTTGAACTATAAGAGAAATATTTTTTTTCTTATTCTTAAAAATTATTATGGATTTATTATTATTATTATTATTATAAGTGTTTTTATCATTTTAATTGAGTTTATTACGTTGAAATAGATTATTACCTCTCATAGAATAGAAAGGAAAAAAAAAGTAAAGTGAGTACTGGATTGATAGGACCATTCTCCTAATTATTTGGATCAAGTTCGGTCTTGTTAATCCTTGAATTATCATTAGACAAGATCAAATTACAGATTGCTTAATTCAATTCTTTTTATAAAAAAAATCGAACTTTAAATTAAAGTAAAATTTAATATCATCCTGTCTTTTGTGCAATCCTAACAGATGAGGTTGAGTTGAAAGAGT